ACACTGTTCTCCACTTAGGCAAGGCTATTGATTCTACCCCAGATTCAGAAAGCTTTAGTCACATCCCTGGCCCCCAGCTCACCCTACCTCCTGGCTGTAACTCTTTGATGATGCTATGGGCCACAGGCTCCTCTCCTCAATCTAGGTGCTTTACTGGATGTCTCCCCCACTCTTTGATTAATAAACAAATATTCTTGGAAAGGGGTTACGTCTTAGAGCTATAGCTAGTGTCTACAGTCTGATACTTGGTGTAAATGATGATCTGAGCAAGATGGAACAAGAAATGGAACTCCAAGTGAAGGGAAAGGATACAAAGCATAATAATATAATGGAAATGGTATGGAATTTGGAGTCAGAAGTCCTGGATGCAGGATCTGTCATTTGCTTCTATGAAAACATTAAAAACTAACCTTGAAGTCCTGCCACCCTGATAAACACCAACAAACACTCATCCATTTTTGTTTTTGTTTCTGGGGCTGATGGATGATGTCACTATTCATTCAGTCATTCAGCAAGAATTTATTGTGTACCTACTCTGCCAAGCACTGTCCTAGGTACTAGAGAAATAATGATGAGGAGAAACAGTAAGAACTTTATAGAGACAGTGAGACTATTGAACAGGAAGCAGAATAGGCAGGATTTAGTGATGAGTTAGAGGAGACACGTGATGAAGACTGAAATTTTAAGGAGTTATTCTAGGTCAGTCTTGAGAGACTAGGATTTGGTGGTGTCATTCTCTGAAAGAGTGACTATAGGAGGAAGTGCATTACATGTAAGTACTCTAGTTGCAAGCAACAAACTGACACAATTAAGCAACAAAGGATATGTTGAAAGAACAATCAGGTGACAGAAAGGACAAGAACCAGCCCATGGATGTCTGTGGCAGCACTGTGTAGACTGCAGCTGTCATTGGAGGACTCCGGCCTCAGCCCCCTTCTGCCACTGTGTCCTTTCCAGATGAAGGTTCCCTGGAGAAAGAATCTGGCCCAGTTTGGGGGAGGGCATGTTAGTGTCTACAATGACAGAAAGACCAATGGTGGCGGTTGGTGGGGCGTGATGTTAGTAAGGAGGGTGGATTACAAAGAAGCACAGAGAAACTTTGGGGTGGTAGAAATGTTCCTCATTTTGATTGTGTTGATAGTTTAACATGTGTAAACATGTCAAAACTGATATTGTATGCTTTATGTGCAGTTTATTGGGTGTCCTATACAAACATTGATACAAAGAGCTCGAGAACTTGCAAGGCTTTTCAGTAGATGTGTCCCTTAGGAAGCAGGAAATGCATATTTGTATTTAGGAATCATTTTTCTAAGATCTAATCCTATTACTCGTTTCTTTTAAAACCTTCAAAGGATGTCTACTGCTGTAATGGAGAAGAGGAGGTTGCATGACCCCCCATAAAAGCCCTACTGTCTGTATTTTAATACCCGTCCTAGAAGGCTTCCTACTCCCTCGGCACTCAGAATCACTGCTGAGAGTGGTGCCAGGGCTAATGGAAGGGTGGGGGAAATGCTAGGAATGCAGGGCCCTCAGTGACCAAGGTCCTCCATGACCAAGTGCTTAGAATGCCCCTCCCAAGGCAAAACCCAGTTCCAGCCCTTCCTCTACAGGACTTTGCCTGACCCTCATCTCCTAGGAAACTGATCCTCTTTGGATAATGTGCCAGAGAGGACTTCTACGGACTTAGGATCTGGTGGGTTGGAGGGGAGACAAGCATTCAAGTAGCTGCTACAGAAGAGGCACAACTAAAGTGGAAAATTATACTGAGTTGTGAGACTGTCCCTGCATTTGCATATGGCCCTACTGGAGGCTCCAGGAAGATAGGGAAAAGGGCGAGTATGCTGGCATGAGTAATTTGCTTATCTAGGGTATATAGTCCCAGCTAGGAGCCAAGTTATTTACCCTAATTTACAAAATGGTAAAGTTGCTGATCCAGTGGTAGTGGGTTAACAGAATTTATTAACATTGGTGTCACTAAAGTTCGTTTACAACCCCCCAGTGCTAAATTGACTGGCTGGGGTGGGTGGGTAGGTAAAGTTGTCCAGGGGAAAGACCAGGATTTAGAAAACTACCATCCTGGCAGCAACACAAGAAGGTGCTGAAAGCCAATAAAAGTGGGCAGAGATGAATATCCCTCATCCCCTGCCCTGAGGCCCCTGGAGGTCTGTTGACAAAAGGTTGGCTGCTCCAGTTTCTGAAGTTTAGCATTTAATCCTAGGAGAACCCTGGTAGCCCAGTACCACATGAGGCTTCCTTCATCATCTGTCTGTACACATCTCTATCCAGAATTAATTACAAGACCATCACCCAATCTCTGCCTTCCAGTAAGGTGAAGGACAATATTGACAGACTAGGTAAGATATCCAGAGAACACTAGCAGCAGGACACATCCAGGATGTGTAGGATACGCCAAAGAGCAGAGTGCACACTCTTACAGAATTGCTTATTTTATGCTAAATGGGTGCTGAGCATGTGCACATTGGATCCTGTTTTCTGCATGTTTACACTTTCAAAATGAATAGCATGTGCCTACAGGGATAAAATCATGTATCAGCAAACCTTCTAAGGTTATGCTTTAAACAGAAGAAAGATGCTTGTGAGAGATTATTAACCATCAAGTTAAACTGTAAAAGTAACACAGCAAATCAGTAGACTCGGAGGGTACAGCTCAAGTGGTAGAGTGCATGCTTAGCACGCATGAGGTCCTGGGTTCAATCTGCAGCACCTCCTCTAAAAATAAATAAGTAAACCTAATTCCCCCAAAAAAACTTAAAAAAAAAATCAGTAGACTCAGTTGAGTAAGACGGCCTCTGAGAGTCTGTGGTTCTAACAATCTTCAAACATACTGGACTATACCATGGCGGGAGACCCACCCATATACAAGAAAAATCTCAACCTTTCCTGGAATTCATGGTCAGCTTGTCAGTAAGTGCAAGCAGTGTCCACCTTTGCAGTTTAACCCTTAGGATTTGAATTTCTTTTTTCTCTTGGATATTCTTTTGTCTGAGGACTGGCCAGGCTTACCTTTTTATTAACTTACATATATCTTGCCTATATGTTACTTTCTTTGCCTTTCTTAGTTGGATTGGTAGTTTTTCTGCACTAATAACTGCTATGCCTTAAAAAATATATTCAAGTAAAATGAATTTAATCAATTTATTCTGTCTTTCCCTCTGGCTGTTTATCAAATAACATCTTTAAGAATGAAAGCAACTACCTTTGCTTATTTAATTAATTAATTTATTATTTATCCTTTGCTTTTTTCTCACTCTATGCCTTGATTCTCAGTCTTTGTCCCTCAAATGAACATGCACAACACCTGTCTCTATTGATCTATAAAAATATTAATTCCCAAACCTGGAGAACTTATCCCAGGAATAAAAAGTAAGCACAGAAGTCTGTGTCACTGGGATGGAAGATGGAATAACCACGAGAGTTCTAACTCTAAGTAGGAAGCCAACATAACGACAGCTAGCATTTATTGAGCACTTACTATGTGCCGGGCAAGCTTCTAAGGCTTCTGATGTGTTAACTCATTCCATCTTCACAGTACTTCTATGAGACAGGTAAGAGATAAGAGAAATGAAACAGAATTGTCCAAGATCACACAGCAGAGCGGAGTCCAGAACCTTATACTATTACATCCTTACTCACTGAGCTCCTCATTAATTTGGGAACATTTCCTGCCACAAAGAAGTCAGTCAAGGGGTGACTAAAGTATGACATTAATTAATAGTTAAGTTGAGGTGCTTCCCATATGCTAGAACCACACTGTGAAATGGCTTCACAGGCATGATCATTTTCAGTCCCCCATTTCAGGGATGAGGGAACAGATTTTAGAAATGTTAAGTAATTTGCCCAAAGTGACACAGCAAGAAGCAGCGCAGCTGGGGCTGTTTGAGTCCAAGGTTCATGACGCTCTTAACCTCTACACTAACTACACTGCCTCGGATGAATTCAGCCAAGGAAGATCCGTATGGGGCAACGTTCCTCTCCCCACCTCACCTCCCTGCTCCCGGGCTTGGGGTGTGCCCACTAAGTTAGCTCATGTTCCAAGCTTCTGGACACAGACCTGTTTACGTAAATGACATGCAAACGCAAGTAAACACAACTTTCCACATTCGCCGAAAATTCAAATAACGTCGATGGCGGGGAAACCGGACGGATCCCATTAGCTCTGGGTTCATTCAGATCCCACGTCCTCCCGAGCCTCGAGGCGGGGGAGGAAGCGGCTCCGGATGGAGAGTAAAGTGACAATCGGAGAAGGAAAAGCAGCCTTTCCTCCCGGGGGAACAGAGGCGGCCGGGCGGGCAGAGGGAACCTGCAGAGGGCGGTTTCTCTCCTCTTTTCCTGTCCCACCCAGCCGGCCGGCCCCCCACCCCCACTCCCGGCCGGCCTCGGCGGCGAACTCTGCGCGCCTCTCTGCCGCTTCCTCGGCTCGGTGTCCCGCAGCGGGTCCCCGCGATCCCTGCGGTTCCCGCCCCCGTCGAGTTGAGAAGGACGCGCGGAGCAGCGCCGGGCCCTTTCCCGGCAGCCCGTCCGACTGGTAAGGTGAGCACGCGGAGGAGACGACCTGGGCGAGCCCGGTCGCCCACACTCACAGCGCAGCCACCTCGGCCGCCGCAGGAACTAAAACCGAGAGCGGCCGAGCGCGGCCCTCGGCTGGAGCCTCCCGTCGCGGCGGCTCGGAACC